TATCATCGGAGCTCACCCAGAACCGCTTGGCCAACCACTATTGGCCATCACTTGGCTTGCAATGTCATCCAGGTTCAGACAACACTTTGAGCCCAGGAATGATTTATAAACCCTAGTACAAGCCATGATAGCTTATAAAACCAGCAACTGGGTTTATAAACCATGGTAGGTTTTGACAACACAATAAACTGCCTGGGTTTATAAGCCCAGATGGCTTATCATGTCAAATCCAGTCGGTTTGTGCTTAATCTTTGCCCCAACCTTCTCATGGGTGTGCTTCCCTCAGTGGGTGTTTGGCCAAGTGGAGAACTCAAAGGAGCAATAATGCTCCTTTGACAGTGCCAACTTATTCATGTCTACTCAGAAATAAGGCTTATTGAGTTCAAGAGGAATTATTCCCAGGTACAGGACTGCACTCTGAGGACACAATCCGATGCATGCTAGACCAAAGAAAGTTCTTCAACATGAGTGACTGGGGAATATTTGGAATTAAAGGACTTTTTTCTGCTTGAACATGGGATTTCACCTTGAGTTTCTCAGAGGAAGGAAAAGATAAAACCAACTAAAATATAATAGGTATCTTTTGCACATACTCCGACACAGCATCTGCTATTACATCCAGGTGGGCAAAAAGCCTCCCTGCTGTTTTCCCACATGTTCTCCTTTTCCTAACTCTACAAAACAGTGAATGACAAGCCTGAATTAGCAATATGGAACAATGTCTTTCTTTCCATGCAAATGTACAGAAAGCAAACAAATGGTGGTGACAGAAGACAGGATCACTGGGGACAGGATCATTGGGGAGAATGAGGCAGCAGTGGATGCTTGTTATTGTGAAATGCCAGCAAATGTCTGCTTATTCATTTATGATTGTATTTTGCTTGTGCCAAAAAAATTGGTCAGCCTGGATTACTACTACCCACCTTGCCTAATGGAATGGGTGGTGCCACATGGTGCTCCAGGTGAGGGAGCAAAATGCCTCAGGCCTGTGCAGACAGAAGCCAGGAGTGCAAAGAATATATGGGATTGAAATTCTACACATCCAAATCCCAAACAGTTTCCACAAGAATGCTTAAAATCCTCCCACTGAAAGCAATTGAACTTGAAAGTGGTAAACCTTGCCTGAATTTTTGAATAAAATCTATAAACAAAATGTATACAGAATAGCAAACTGGACACTAGTGCTGGCATATATTACACTGTGCTAGAGTAAAGGATTTCTAGAGCAATATCAATAGTATTAGCCATGCAATGGTTTCCTTAAATTAGCACAACATAATAAATGTTAGCATTGGTATCTAAGAGGATACCATCCTATGTTGCCCTTTGTCTTTATTTCACTAAGGAACAAAAACATGTGGACAAAGGTTAATATGAGTTAAAAGACTAATCTCAGACAATACACTAACCCACATTCAGGGATAGACTCATTGTTGAACTATGAATTCTTGCTAAAATGTGGGTTACTGTGCTGTCTGAACCCATCTGTACTAACAAACCATAGTCCGCCATGAACCACACATACAGGAAACCCATGACTTGTTATTTGGTCGTGAATTATAGGTTGCTGATTATAATTACCTTAGCTGGCCGCAGGCATGATAACCCATGTATCAACTGCAGCTACGGTTCAAGAACAACCCACATGGAACCCATACTCAACCGCTGGGTGTAAGTTATCACATTGTCTGAACCCAGTTAAACAGAAGTAGAATGCAAGGTTGCAACCCAGAGACTCAACATGCAAGTTAAAGGGCATGATCCTATACAAGTTTAGGCGGCAGTTTGGGAATTGTGGTGAAGGGAGGTTTGTTGTCTAAACATGCATAGAATTTAACTGAAAATGATCAGGGAAGAAGCAGCTGCAGCTTCACATCTGTTTTTTCTCTCTACATACTGGAACAATTTTGCCAATTACATGTAAGCATGGGTTTTGGTGGAGGTGAACTAACTGTGACCACTTTCTTTGCTTTCCTCAGTTATTTGAAAGGTGCCAGCCAAATCTCAGGGTTATAACTTGGCAACTATACCAAACAGTCATATAAAATAATATAGTTGGACTGAAAATGGCCTCCCACTTTCCCAGTCTTTGGTGAAAGTGACCAAAAGGGACAGCCATCCTGTTTGTACCTCTTGCCAATAATACTCCAGGGAAACAACACTACATTGCAACAAAGGCTCATTCCCACAGGCCATTCTCAATGGAGAATGCTGCTGGGCTGCTCCTGCTTATTGCAGATGTCTACTGCTTAATGTGTTAGGGAAAATTTTTTTTTTAACATACACAGAATGCAATCTTCCACTGTCTCATATTCATCACAGTAACACACACATCCCCTCTAAAAAGGTAAGACATTTCTCAGAATCCCTGAAAATCAGAAAAATATCCACTGGTCATTTTGGCTTCCTCCCCAAAATACCAAAGTGTCTAGTCTGAATGTTTTCATTTATCACCCGAAAATACTGCTTGGGTGTCTGTAGCAAACAACACAGTTCTGCAAACATGAAAAGTGAGTGGTTCTGCCTAGGGCTGCTTGTAAAGAGTTATGCACAGTGTAATGCTCTGCCTGTTAAGCACTGGCATCATGTGGCTCACTGGTAGCTGGTACCCTGAGGATAATGCCAAATGCTATCTATAGTTGCCTGCAGCCACAATCTGCAGCTTAGAATATACTGCTCTGCTCTATCAATAAAAGATAGCATTTTGAACATAGAAATCATATACTGCACTCATGGGAAAATAGGTGTGGCTTGTGTTTGTATGTGAAGGTTCGCTTCATCCTACTTCCAGGAAGCATTAGCAGTAATACAGCTATCATGTACAGTTATCATGGTTTAGGGCCTGGGTATCTGAAGGAATGTCTCCTTCCATATATACCTGCCCACCCCCTAAGATCTGGAGTGGAGGTCCTTCTTCAGGAGCCCTCTTTGAAGGAGATCAGGAGAGTGGCTACCCAGAGAAGGGCCTTCTCTGCAGTGGCGCCCCAACTTTGGAACATGCTCCCCAGAGAGGTGAGTCTGGCACTGACACTTTATTTCGGTGCCAGCCCAAAACCTTTTTATTTTCCCGATATTTTAAGATCTGATGACTGTTTTAAAAATGGGTTTTTGTGTTTGATGCTGTGCTTTATTGTTGTATTTCCATCCTGAGACCCAAGTAAAGGATGTGATAGAAATGCTTTTAATAAATGCTTTTAATAAATAATAAATAATCATTGCTTCCACAGATGTTTCTGGAATTAGACAACACATCACATGGGCATATCCTGTCTCCTGCTATGCATTAGCCCCAATGGAATGGATTGGAGGCTTCCCTCCATCCATTTCAATGAAGTATGCACAGCAAAATGCTTCCTGTGAATTTATGCCCCAGGTTCAGTCCTGCCACTGCTATTATTATGTGCTGCTGGTGGTATAGGACAGCCGTCCTCAACATCGTGCCCTCCAGATGTGTAGGGGCACAACTCCCATCACTCCATCCCAAAGCCCTACTACTTGGGATGATGGGAGTTGTGTTTTAACACATTTGGAGAGTACCCAGAGGAGGAAGGCAATTCTAGAACTTCCCTTCCTTTCCATTCAACTCATTCCTGGCTTTTAAGAAAAGAGCAAACTGCAGAGCAAAGCAGGTATTTCAAATAGAGCTCAAATAAGAGACTGGTCTAATATTGCCCTCTACTGGCTAGATAGGGAATTGTGCAGGGTGTATTTAAAAAAAAGACACTGGAGAAGAATTCAATTAAATTTTGCATTTATTCCATTGATAAAAGATCATCATCTGCTCCTGAATGTATGCTATAACTGATTACCTAGTTCAATTTACTACATGTGAAAAAGCCTGAAGTTTGAGAAGTTACTAGGTGATACAATTGCAATGTTACATGAATGTATTAATGCAATGTTACATTAATACAATTCACACTCCAGGAATTTGACCAATGTCTTTGAAAGTATATAATTAAGGGAAAGTTTAGACAAAAAAGCCTACAAGTTCTGGTATGCCCATGCATCTACTGCCTATATTGTCAAAAAAGCAAACAGTTTTCCTAGTCTAATTGGTTTTGCCTAAATGTGAAATTGTACATGTACATGTCACTGTTGGTTCTACAACCCTACATAAACCTAAGAATTAGAGGTTACAGGCAAACAGGCCTTAATTTGACAGGCAAATGGGAAAGATTTTGGGTGACAGAATCATAAATAAACCCTGGAACAGTTGGAGATGTATCACATAGTATCTCAGGAAACAAACTAACTGTTGCATCAGGGAGACCTTGCATCATTCAACAGGCACAATCATTGCTACAACCATAAATAATGTGAGCACCAGAGAGCAGCTGTTGACAGTGGGGACCAGGAACTGTGCTAGAAAGTCAAAGTGAAAAGACAGCACCAGTCAGGTAGACTTGCTGTTCAGTCAAAGCCTCAGCCCATATAGACAGACTTGTTCTAGAAGGGCCCACTGGCCAACCTGTGTGAGTAGGGCCAATCCAAAGTCCCATCATGCTTTGCTGTCCAGGAGGCTGCTCCAAATTGCCGTTCTGTGCCTCCCCTTATGGGGCAGGCACACATGGAGCCAGATGGTTCATGACAATGAGCTGTTATAGATCAAACCTTGGAGGCAGAACCATCACTTCACCTCAACCTCATCCTTTCAAACAATTTTTGCTTTCTTTTCCCAACGTTCTTTCAGACATTTTACACATTCCTCTGCAAGTCATCAAGTGCTATCACCTGATATATATTCACCTCTGAACCATGGTGTTCTTCACCTCAGACCTAGAGTCTCCAGAGGGCCATGGCCTCTTCCCCCTTTCCCCTAGCCACCAATCATTTGATGGTTCCCCAGCTTTTGTGGGTTTTCCCTATTCTAAAAGACGAACAGCATATCTTATGCTTAGCCACTGGCAGTAGGGCTTTAAGCTAAAATAGGCTGGAATTTCTTGCATTTTTGCCCTCAGTCCATTGGTTTAGCCCTCCCTTTGCCCAGCCTCACCCACCTCTGGAGGGATTCTGGGCAAAGATTCTCCACTCCTGTTTCTGATTTTATTCCAAAATGAGCACTCTGATCCAACTGTATTACTAATGATTAAAAATGAGAGGGAAGGAGAGAGGGGGAGCAAGAGTTTCCAACACAGGAGTTACAGCTTTGCCTTATTCTTGGATGGGTCCAGTGCTGCAATGCACTGCTTAACCAGGTGGGTTGCCTCTCTGGCTGTACCCTGATGCACTGAGAAGCCACCGCCACCATGCCCATAATTGTGGACCACCTGTAGCTTCTCACTGCCTCGGACCAGTATCTCTTTCTGCAGCCTCACAGTTGACCTGGTCGGCCTCAGGCCCACCTTCACCTTAATATCCTGCGCTTTCTGAAGTGACGGCTCAAGAGCACAACATCGACCAAATATATTTTTACTGGTATGGGGATCTGGAGACAGCTTCCAGTTGTCTTTCTGCCTTGTTCCACCTAATGTTACATTATGCACTCCTGGATAGATGTATGTCAGTCCATCCCCATCACGAATGAAGTGCGTGACCCAAGGGGCACGGACCTTGAGAACTTGACCTCTGATGGGGTATATTTCTAGGTCACCTACAAGCTTCCGTGAGCCAATGCCGGAGCAGTTCACTACAATGTCATAGTCACTGTGCAGTTCCCAGAGATCTTCTATGTGTCTGACTTGCACCTGGCTCCCATTTTCTTTCAGCCTACAAAGAAAATGCCAGAGATGAAAACCATGGTAATTACCCAGCAGTGCAAATTTTTATTATTACACTGCATTTATATTCCCTCTTGCAAGGAGCCCAAGGTGGCTTACATAGACCTCATCCACTTCACTTTATTCTCACAATCCTTTGATGTAGGTTAAGCTGAGAGCCTGTGACTGGCCCAAAGTCACCAAGGGAGCACCATGGCTGAGTGAGGATTAGAATCCAGATCTCCCAGGTCCCAGCCCAACACTCTAACTATTGTGCCACACTGGCTCTCTGCTGGGTTGTTATTCAAGACAAGGGTATCAGGGAACATGTAGCCTGTCTGAATTGTGCAGCTGCAAGTAAAGCTGGAAAGAATACAGGTCAAGTGTGCCATCAAGCTAACTTAGATAAAGCATGCATAAATGTATATAGCACTAGTTCACTTAAGAGGGACAGTATCCATCCAAGCTGTTAGGCATCTCCTTCTGGGAAAAGAAGTCATTGAAACAACATTTTTAAAAAATGGGGCTGGTATATTTTTCACAAAGGTACCAAGGCCTCATTGCAAGCTAAAAATACAGCTGAGCATGCCGGAAATGTCTAGCTGGTCATTGGTCGTCTAGCACTGCAGAGTTCTACTTTTGTCCCCAGGTTAATCTGCTGTTTCCAAGGTGTCCAGGAGAGGCACTGAGCTAGACTCATACCATCCGTTCTGCACAGCCATGGGAACTTTAGCAGCAGTTCCCATAGTGCCACTTGGCAATTTCAGGAGGAGAGTATGTGATATAGCATGGGGAATTTGCTGGTAAAGGATGACAAACAGGTTTTAAAATGGGACCACTGAACACATCATCAAGTGGCCCATGGAGCCCTGTGTTTATCTATGAGGTACATCTAATAATGTATATACAGTGGCTCCTACAGCCAGGCCAGGCTATTCTTCCAACTGCCTGCCACACAACCACAAGGTTCAGTTTGGTGCCACACACTGTCCAGTTCCACCTCAGACTTTGCAATACAGAATGCTGTTAGCATGGCTATGCCAACTCACATTGTGGCTTCGTGTAAATTCCTGGGTTAGGTAATATAACAGGTTGATGGGGAACAACAGCAGGAAGGTGCTGTTTGTGCTCCTGTCCTCCTTGTGGGATCGCATGGGCAGTGGGTTGGCCAAAATGCTGGATTAGATGTCCCCTTATGTCCATCACAGAGAGAGGGAGGGAGGGAGGGAGAAAGTGAGTGCGCACTCAAAAGCCTCCTGGTTGTCTGGTATAGGGACTTGCAGGTTCTGGCAAAATGTTTATTACTGATTCCCTTTTGGTGTGTTTTGATGAAGTGCCATAAAGCATGCTCAGGGCACTTTGGAGAGGGCTGTCACTGAATAAAGTACAAGTTTAATGGATGCTTCCTTAACAGCTGCTTGATGGAAGAAATCTAAAGAATTCATTTCTGCTCCTTGAATTCCAGCCTTTTAACAGGCTTATCAACAAAACCCCACCCTTGGCAGGGGGCACCGTGACAGCGTATTGCTTTGTGGATCGGGACACTCCTTTGGGAAATTACAAGAGTGTGAAAGAGAAATGGGGGGCAGCTGAGGCCTCTGCCCACAGGCTCACTTGACAGGCACTAAACGGATTCTGTGATTTAGCTGAGCATCAGCAATGCTCTCAGTATTGCTTAAGAAATGAAACATGACAGGGCCTGTTCTTCCCACGAGACAGCTCATATGTCAGCAGAGACCAGTGCCAGAATAAAGAGCACTCAGTGTACCATTACTCCAAGGCAAGACATGCTTCCCCATGTTTTAACGTGGCATGAAAACAGCAGTGCAATTTGATTAACAGCTAACACATTTAATTAACATTTGGACTCGCTTTCATTACATCTTGAATCACATCTTTCTTGACTGAAAAATGGCAAATACTCTGTGTATTTACAGACTATTTCCCATCCATCCCCTCTCTCCAACGCACACACATCCCTACACAGACACACACACTCTCTAACCCACAATTCCCCCTGTTAAGGCAATGGATTCTGGCTAAAAGATGGACAACACATCAACAGTTCATAGAACTCCCTGATACAAGATATGTCAGGGATTTAAAAAAAACAGATTAGACAAGATCGGAGAGGGCAATAAAGTCTACAAATGAATATTAGCCATGTGAGGTATGTGGAACCTCCATCCACAGATGTGAGTACATCTCTGAAGTCCAGACCTTGGGGAAAAGAGCAAAGATGAGTGCCACTGTCATGTTCTCCTTTTGGAACACCAGAGGCATCTGGCTGATACCAGAACCTGGTGCTATCCAAAAAAGTTGAATGGTGGGAGATCCAGGATGTTTCTACACAGCTCATACAGGCAGTCCCTGAGTTACAAACAACCCGTACTTACAAATGAACTGCCATAAAGCCTATTAATCTTTTAAAATTGCTGCAGGAAAACATCACCACCATAGAGAGAGAGAGGAAGCAGAAGGAGAGAGCAGGAAAGCATCACCATAGAAGAAAGGAAGTAACGGGGCAGAGAGGGAGGCCTTCAAAACATGTCTTCCTGCCCTGGCCATCCCAAGAGGGAAATCTCTCCAGCATTTCCTTGATGCAAAGGAAGGCACTGGTGAGTTGGTGGAAGAGGCTACAGATACTCACTTTTTGCCTACTTTCAAGGGGATCCTGTGCCCTAACCTCTGCAAATATGAAGGGCATGATTTACATGCAAATTCAACTTCATATTTTCTCAGGAATGAAACTTAGTCATAAATGCCTGGATAGAATTTGCTTCCAAAGACAAGGTGACAGCTGTCCATTTAAAGATTACACAGATTCATGGAGAAGAAAGCTATCAATGGCTACTCATCCTGATAGCAATATGCTATCTTTCATGTCAGAAACACCATGCCTCTGGGTATCTGTTGCTGGGGAACATAAGCAAGACGGTGCTGTTGCACTCAAGTCCTGCTTGTGAGTTGTCAGAGGTACCTGACTGGCCGCAGTGAGAAATGAACACTAGACAAGAATCCTGGCACAAACAGCCAGAAAACACTGGGCAGCTTTTCCATCTTTTCTTTCTTAATGGATTTTCTGCTGTAGCAGGAAAGACAAAAGTACTAGGAAAATATAGGAGGGCTACAGTGTGGGAAGATGACAATATCTGCACCCCCTGTAAAATTCATGAAAGACAGAAGATGACAACATCTTAAATGGAAGCACCAGGCATATAAATAACTGTATGTAGATACATTAAATGCCAATCATAAATTGTTTTTAATTGTCCTGCCTTCCCTCAAAATGAACTCTGGGATATATAAGTCAGTGCTGAGAGTGCTCTCCTAAATTTAATATTTAGCATAATAACAGTTTGTTGGAGGTAGCTGGGACAAATTTAACAAACTGTTGTATCTTAGCAACTAGAACGTCTCACTAATGTTGTGAAGGCATCCTAAAAAACCAAGTCCTCTATGTTTTCGAAGACAGTTCTTCACAGGATGCATGAGTCTTTTGTGAATGATGAATACTGGTTCAGATTTGCAAACACAGGGTTGGATCCAATATTAATCCTACTTAGATCAAATGAAATGAATGTGTTTTACATTATATCAACATTGCCGGCAACCTGCTGGAAATGTTAAAAAAGCATGTTTAATAATCCTATAAGGCTTTACTCTGAAGTAAATCCCACTCACTTCAGTGACACTTATTCTCCAATGAGTATGCTGAGGATTGCAATGTTATCCTTTTTAAAAGGCAAGAGGCAGGTCGTATTGTAACTGGCTGACAAAATATATAAAGGTGTCTATCAAACACACATACCTGTTAACATATATTTCCTCCCCTCACTCTTTTCTTGTAGTTGATGTTTTGCTGATTTTACTGTATATTATATTGAGATTTTAAAATCACATTTTATATACCACCCTGGTGCTATAAGGGTGGTAGAAAATGTTTTAAATAAATAAATGTGGTTTGGGTGGTGAAAGGGCATTTTGGGGGAGCCTATAGTTTTATGAGAATGGGTTAGGGAAGGGAAAATTCAACATGGTTGGTCAAAATGTTTTAGATTACAAGTCCTTTTATTGTAGTGTTATATTTAAAATGTATTAAACAATGCATTTTTAAAAGATACATACATACCTTTTTTCCAGCCAGATCAAATAAGGTGGGCAGTCACACTTCAGTGTTGTAAAGGCCTGACCAAATTTGTGCTGTGGAAATTTCTTCAGTTCTTTTTCAGTCATTGACCGAAACCCTAGAACCACATCGGACCAGAATGGTGTTTTCTCATCAGGAATGGTTTTAAAAATCTGCCAGCTAATAGATATGCAAGAGAATATTTGTATAAAACAGGTATTCTGTTGTACTACATTTTTTATTCTCTATCAGAAAATAATGATTTAAGAACAAACTCATTTAGCATATCAGAACAGCTTCAGACTTTATACAGCAGCAAATTTCCCAACAGCACTCATGAAGCAGCATGATATACATCCAATTATCTTATGCATGCACTACATTGTTAGGTGTACTATAAAACATTGCACAGGTACTTATTCATAATAGATATAACACATAAAGCATCTTCTGTTTACTCAAGTTTAAATGCAACTTATTTCTAGTGGTGACAAAAGCTAAATTAAAGCATAGAGAAAAGAGATGATGAGGGGATGAGAAATAGCCCAGAGGTAGTTTTTCAAACTGTATTTAACACATATATCATTTTCTGACTATGAAGTAAAAGAAGCCGCTGTATATCCTTATTTCTCCATGGGACGTAGAGGCTGTGGAAAGTGCCACCTGCATGTTCTGGATGACCTTTCTGCAAGCTCCACACAATGATGCCCCTTCCTCATGAAATCTAGCTGCTCAGCATCCTCATTACCAGCTCCTCCTCCTCCTCCTCCTCTCCTCACTTGCTGCCAACTGCTCGAGTGACTGGCAGAGAACCAGTCATCATGCAAGCAGTGGCATCTCCTGCTCCTCCTTCTCAATCCCACCATTATCTGAACCAGAGCAAGAGACAGGTTGAGAGATGAACAGGAAAAGCAGGTCCACAGGGTTTGCCAGGGGGGCCCTGCTGCCCTCAGCAGGTGTCCAACTATACCTACCCTTGAGGCTGGTTCTGGCTGTGGAGCAGGGTCCTTAAGCTGATTTTTAAGGGGAAGATTAGTAGACAACACCATCACTATATTATTACAATCACAGGACCTAGATTGTTAGCCCGTTTGATAATTCTGTCCTGGCCAAAACAGTCTTAATCTTCATTATCAGAGAAAATATCAGGACAGATATTCATGACTGTGCCAATTTTTTTCCACATAGCACCTGAAGAGAGTTTGGAGTCTGCAGTTGGAGAACTTCTGTCTTAAACCAAAGGCTGAAGACAACCCTCAACAAACTTGTTTGTGTATTACCAAAGCATGGACCAATGTGACAAGGAAAGAAAGATGCACCTGGGAGTGGGGACAATGTGGTTCATGGGATATTTGAAATGTTGCTTGAGATGCTATTTGCACAAACAGAATTTGCACGATCATTATATCAGCTTTGTCACTCCCTCTTTCCTAATGTGATCACAAAATGATTCCAATGTATTATTTATTCATTTATTTTTTTCCTTGTGTTGAACAACTCATGGTGTGCGCATGGGGTATCCATGGATGGATTTAAAAGGAGATTGGACAGATGCATGGAGGAGGAAGCTATCAGTCGCCCTGCTGACTATGTGCTACCTCCTTTGGCAGAGGTGACATGCCTGAATATACCAGATGCTGAGGAGCTTCAGAGGGAGGAGGTCTTGCACCCATCCTGTTTGAGGGACCCTGCAAGCAGCTTGTTTGCCACTATGTATACAGAATGCTGGACCAGATGGACCTTAGGTCCAATCCAGCATGTTTTTTCTTATGTTCTTGCCCCAGCACCTTCCACTCCCTCTCAGAAACTAGCCAGATCCAGATCTATAGAGCTGCAGTGAGATGGCTGCAGGTTGTGCCCTAGCATAACTATTGGTCTGTTTGCAGTAAAAATAACAGAAACTTCTTTACCCAGATACCAAATGAATCCCAGCCTCTGAAGCCTCTGAGGAATTACAGATTACTGACAGGTGATCAAAGGTCTCTCTAAACCACTGCTTCTGTTGATGAACTGGTGTGCCTGCACAAAAGAGAGAAAGCACCTTTCAAATGAATAGGAAACAATTTAGGGAACTCAAGAATCAGTTAAAAATATAGTTATCTAGGGTAAGAGCAGTATTGCAGCCAAAGCATCTGTACAATTGTAGAATACAAATAGTGGGAACAACCTTGGTTGCCTCCGTACTCCACTGAAAATGCATTGCAGCCTTTGACAGCTTGTTGCTCTCCAGATAACTAGGCATGTTGGCTGGAGATTATGGGACTGCCTAACACATCTGCCAGTGGAAACCAGAATAAGGAAAAGATACTTACACTTCAACAGATGTACTCTTTTGTTTTTTCTGACAGATGTACATCTGAGACTATTCTGCCTCTTCTGCTACAGAAACACATATCTGGATCTCACTGCTGAGCACAGCTTCCCAACATTGGTGAATGTGGCAAAGAAAAAGGGTCAGGTGGGTGACTGTGTGTCAGTGCACATATTTTCGATCACCAGCCAGGAGTTAAGTGGAATGTGACCTATAGCCAGCTTTGCCAAGGGGATGCCAGAGGACAAGAGAGCCTGGAGGAATGTTATTCATGGGGTTGTGATGTGTCGGACTCAACTTTGCGACTAACAACAACAAAAACCAGAAACCTGTTTTCACTGTATGGTGTTAAGCAGGGGTCCTCAAACTTTTTCAACAGGGGGCCAGTTGAAAGGTGCCGGTGGTGGGCACGGGCTGGCAAGGCAGTGCCGGCAAGGGGGAATGGGCTGGTGAGGGGGCGGGGGGGGCGGTGAGGGGGGGGGCGTGCAGGGAGATTGTTTTCTCTGAGAGAGTCCAAAACAATCTCTGCACGAGCAAGCTGCCGCCTCGCTGCACATGTGCGCAGGCAGGCACAGTGAGTCCAAACCCTTTGAGGCAGGGCAGGCCGGATCCGGACCATGGGCCGTAGTTTGAGGACCCATGGTGTTAAGTAATAAGAAGAGGGGATTGCCTCTCAACATGTGCAGAAGATTTTCTTTACTACTCAGTAACTAGATCAAATGTCCATATAACCAGGATAAGGGTAAGAAGAAATCTGGGTTCAGAAAACTTTGAGCAGCTCTAAACCAAACACATCAGTCACAAATGCACTGATGCCTCACTGGTGTATATTCAACAATTGCATCTGCTCCATAGAGCTAGAAGCCTGTGCTGACTCCAACTTTTTAGGGTCCTTGGATAAGACACCCCAAGTGAGGGAATGGGGGAAACACCAGCTCTCATTTACAAATTAGGAACAATCACTTCCTAGTTTTCTTCCTCAAGGTGTACCAATTTAATCTCAGGGAATCACACCTGAAAATTATGAGTATACCTCTCAGGAGTGAGTTTGGTGACTGCATAGTAAAAATGGAAAATTATCTTTGCATTTTTCACTTTAGAATGAAAATTTCACTCACCTGGATGAGCATGTGGAATAAGCATCCCAGCTGCTACATCACTTGTTGTGTTGGGAGTAAATTTGTCAGCAACTACAGTCACACTGCAGTTTGAAATAGATTCAGCAATGCACACAGCAGTGGAGAGACCTATCAACCCAGCACCAACAACTGCAATCCTAGTCTTGGCCATGTCTGCTAAAAGAAAGGGATTAAAAGTAACCTCTAAACAAAATTAAGATTGCTTACATTGCATTTTTTCTAAAACCCACTGGCTTTCAATATCTTTTTCTTAAACATCTTTAATCTGAAAACAGCCTTCAAAAGAAATTATTTAGAGGGCTCTTAAAGAGGATTAGCATAAGGAAATTGCAGCCATGCCTCACATTGAATGGGATGGATGCCTCAGCCACAGGTTTACTTGGCAGGAATCAACTGCCTTATTGATTTCCCATGGCACCCATAGCAACAGAATGCTACTTACTGTTGTCACTCTCAGATAATGGCCAGGGACTCACTAATGTATAAGAAGCTTCATTAGAGAACACTTTGCTAACACCACCCTGCTCCCTCCAAAAGAAACTGGGACTCAATCTTATAACTGTCACTGTTTAAATTCCAAAGCAAACAATGACACAGATCAGTAAGGAGGATCCTGAAACAAGGTTTGAATATAAAAAGTACTGTATTTCTCTCATTCACTCTGTTTCCCATTTCTTCCGCTTCCTTCTACTTCCTTCCATTCCCCCCCTCCTTCTACTGGGGCCCACTAGGGACAAATCTTTTCACAACTCAAAACAAGTAACTACCTGACATTCTTAGAATCCAGCAGCATGCAAACACACACAACAACCGGATTCACACTACACAGTAAGTCATAGAGCGTTGTGAGCTATCTTTGTTCCAGACCAGTTTGTTGTGTTGCCTGAACCCAGCCAGGGCAACTGACTAAACATGACAAGATGATAAAAAGCCAACACAGCTCACAAGTTATCATGTTGTGTGAAAACACTTATAACTCTTTCTCTCAATTAACACATAACTGGTTGATTAATCAACATTTGGTTAAAAGTGAAGTCAGCACTAAACTACAAAAGCTTTAATTACCAGTACAAAATAACACCTGTGAAGCCTGCCATCTGTAAAGCAAGAGGGATGGCCAACCATGGGTAACAGCAATCTATGGTGTCCTTGACTCTCTACACCAACTAAAGAATCTACAGATTTTGAACTGCTGATTAATATAATTATTGCTTCCTTTTTTCAATTGTTTCCTCTGTAACTTTCCAAATAAATATCTTGCTCGAAGGCACAGATGTTTTCCCTTAATTATTACATTTTCCAACTTATGCTTCTGCCCATACAGACTTCATGTTTTCACCACCGTCAGCCTTTTTAAAAGTCTTCTCCCCTGCCACCATCCCACTTTTTTGCATATTTCAATGGTTTTAATAAACCAGTTGCCTGATCATAGATTTTAGTTTTCTTTCAAATCTTTTCACATTTATTTTCACAAGATACAATAAGAAAGGAAATGGGATATAGGAACGGAAGGTGCCAAGGGTCAATCCACAAATACAGCATGTGACAACAACATTTAAACATATTCATAAAAAAGTGAAAATCTCATCAGCTATAATCCCAAAAAATCAATTCTATTCTCAGTAAGACAAAATTTGTCCAATCTATTGCTTTAACTGTAAAGTAGTAATTACTAACATTTATAAAAACTGTATTTTCCTTAACAAATAATTAAATTGCTCATAATAAGCTTTCCATTTTTGAGTAAATTCTTTGATGGGTCTTCTGTTAATGTAGTTAGTTAATTTCACCATTATTGCATAGCCAGCTAACTTGTTTTTCCAATCCTTGACAGTTGGACAGTCTTCAGCTTTCCACTTTGAAGCAATTATCACTCTTGCTGCTATTGTCGGGTATTTAAGTAACTCTGTGATAACCTTTGGGATAGTCTCTGGCACAATACGCAATAGCATATTCTTGGCATTTATTGGAAAGTCAATTCTAAGTATTTTCACATTTCCGTATCTATCTGCTTCCAAAATCTTTTAATTCTATCACATGTCCACCACAGATGGTAGAATGTCCCATCTTACATTTCCAACATTTCCCATTAAAATTCTTATCTATTTTCTGTATATCTTTTGAGGCAATACCACCAAAAATACATCTTATACCACTTTTCTCTTAGCATTTAACTTGCAATGATATCTTATATCTTTCGTCCATAAGGCTTTCCGTTGATGTGATTGTACTTCTTCTGCGACCAGCTCTTCATAGATATTTTAACTTGTTGGGTTTCGTGCTTGTTTGTGATTTTGAGTAACTTACAACACTTATGACTATGAGGCAGGTTAACTGCTTCCTTAATATGATTCTCCAGGCTGTTCTGAATGAAGCAAGATACATATAATCCAGTATGGGATGTTTTTAGACCAGTGAGAGCTAGTATTGGTCAAGTGGTTAAGAGCGCTGGTCTAGAACTCAGGCAATCTGGGCTCTGCTCAGTCATAGGGCCAACTGGGTGACTTTGGGTCACTCACAGACTCTCATCCCAACCTACCTCACAGGGTTGTTGTTGTGGGGATAAGATTGAGAGCAGGAGGGGGAGAACAATGTACTTTGAGTTCTTTAAAAAAAAAGAAAAAGGCAAGATATGAATAAAATAACTAAACCACTAAGTAAGAGATGAGCCAACTATAGGCCTATTTCCTGTATTTGAAGTGCTGTCAGAGGGCTGCCCTCTATTTAAAGGTGTCCTCCATTTGAAGGCTGTCCAATCCAATTCCAGTTTAAAGACTCAAAACTTTTAGTACCTGAATAACAGGTCAAACAGCCACGCACACAGGTCAACTGGTCAGCATCTCTGCATTATGGTAAGACTGAATTTCTATCTCTGTATTAGCATATGCAAATATTATGCAAATTAACATATTTTTGGTGATGCATTTCTTCTTTTTGACAATATATAAGTGACCACAGGCCAACTCCAAATGATCTAAAGTGTTGCAGATTGAAGGAGGATGGGCTAGATGGTGCTACTGCTAACATCTCCAGTACCCTCTTGCCTTGGTGGGACACATCAGCAGATCAGATCTGCCTGGCTCCAGTTCCATCTAGCTGATGTTCTGCATTTATTTCAGTGCCACTACTCTGGTCAGCTCAGTTTTAACTTTTGTGGGTGTCTTAAATTTGGATTTTAAGTATTTATGTTTGTGCATTTCTTTCTTTTTTTTCTTTTTGCAGAGATTATGTTTCAATTGATCCTATAGTATTTTTTTTGCGTCTGCTGCTTCAAGAGTACATCTGACAGAGAAATATGGCATATACATGTGTCTAAAATGCATACGTTCTTAGAGTCTTTTGAGTTGAGTTATTTGACCAGGCAGTGTAACAATCATTAGCTTGTCCCAGTTCTTTTTTTATCATCTAGAAGTGACCTTTGCACCTTGTTAAAAAAACAACTCTTGAACTTTCCATGAGTCCCTGACATTTCATTTTCAATCAAGATTTGCCTTTGTCGCTTTTAATACAAAATGGGAACTTTGCTATTAGAATTTCATTGATAAACCCCCAAATATATTTCTGGAAAAAGAGTATCAACTGAAATAACACTTGAAGTATTTGTTACTTGTCTTTTCCAGGAAAGATCTGAGCTTTTCAAAAACCTTAGCATAGTTTAGTTCTGTGTAAACTGACTGTTTCAAAAAGAACATTGTGAAAGTTTTAGTAAGGAAAGGGTACTGCCAGTAGCCCTGCCAATCAAAAGGCACCACTTTTCCTTCCTTTTCTGTAATAAGAAAAATGTCATAAGGGATGAAAAAACATGGGAGGAATATCAGAGAAAGACCACAAAGCTTGGATCCAATCCTGTAAAATTCCATGAATGAGATACGCTAATTGCATAATAGAAGCCTCTTCTGGAAGTACACCTGGTTTCTTCATTCACATATTCGACAACACATTTATAAATTCTTATTTGTTTATTTTAGGTTAAACTCCTGCTTACCATTTTACTTTTGGAAGGTCATCGTCTTCTTTGAACCACACAGTGTTTATCTGTTGTATGGACTGACAAAGGGAAGGGAGGGGAGATAATGTCTGCTTCCAGACAGAACACAAAACCCCTAATCTAAATTTTAGCATTGTAAGACTAAACCTAGCTTCCCCCTGGACCCATACACTCCCTCCCCACTTCTCTTCTGATAAGGCTGCAGCAAGAAGATTGGAAGTTTCTGCTTCCTTTTGAGATTAGGCATGCATGTTCTGCAATGTTTAAACCATGAACAGGCAATTTGTGACCCTCCTGATGTTTTGGCCTACAACTTCCATTACCTATCATAATTAGCTATGCTGAACATTTGTTTGTTTATTTTTCTCCCACCCCATTAGCCAGAAAGGCCCTCTGGGCTGATGGGACTTGTAGGCCAAAACATCTGGAGCCACATGGTCAATTCCTGCCCTAAACTGTAGTTAGTGAGAGCAAGTCAGTTTCATAAACTAGCATGTTTTTGTTTCCACTAGTCGTATTTAAGATTAACCACAGTTTCTCTTGATTCAGAAGAAATAAAAAACTGCAGTTAATAAAAAATCCAAATTTCTCCTCACTCTCAGGCCAAGGAGGAATATACAAGCTCAAGAAAAGGCTAAACTATAACTTAGCCTTATGTCCAAACCACTTTATAAGGGTTAAGAGTTAAGAGGGTTAAGACTACTCCCCACTCCCATTTTTCTCCTCTGCACAAATCTAACAGTTTGAGGGAGCAGTCCTAAAGTACCCATAAGGGGGCAGTCCTATGCAAGTTCAGAACAAGAGTCCTACAACTCCCAGCTTCCCCCAAGAAGCAGGGTAGGAATTGTGGGACTTTTGTTGTTTCTAAATATAGGATTGCGCCTTAAGGAATGCAATGCCTTCTTTGCATTTTGATGTTGTCCCAAGCATCTTTGTGCCAAGAATCTCTTCAGAAACACTGTAACAATAAGGTCCAGAAGATTATTTCTGCTTGGTTGGAAATATCCCCCTTTTCCAACAAACCACTTCAGGTTCAGATTGCAGCAAGAGCAGGAAAGCCTGAAAGGCATGTGGCTGGTCCAAGTTGGGTAGACGGGTGGCAGAATCCCACAATCACTGGATGTCTGAGGTTAGAAGAACTTTTGTTGCTAAAAAGTATCATCTAGAATATGCTCCCATGAAAACCCATGCTGATGTGGTGATGTGCTAAGTGCAGCCTTCCCCAACCGACAGCCCTGAATCTGTAAGACTATAGCATCCAGCATGACTGACTGGGAGATGCTGGGTGTTGTAGAGCAACACCTGGAGGACACCAAGTTGGGGAAAAGTCAAACCTAGTGGTATAACAGCAAATTTAGAAGTGGAGGTGTCCCTTCATGAGCCACACCCCCATCAAAGCCACACACATCAAGCCACACCAATTTCCAAGGTTATGAAACCTATGAGTATGCAATAAAAATAGTTTTGGTACTTTGTTTGGCTTTCTGTCGAGTAATGGATTCAAGATGAGAGTATTTGAAGTGAAACAATGACAGCTTCTAGAAGTTATTTATTATCTTATTTATTATGAATGAATGCTTTTTTCTTACACTCATAGCTTGTTCTCCAGCCAAAAAGCTCCCTGAGTGGTTTATATGGAATTAATAAGGCAGTTCCTTTGGTTTCTTTTAATTTTCTGTTGGCTCTGCAACCAATGACTTTGTGTGTGCATATGTGCCATAGATCCTCCATGAGTTCAGTGTTCATAATTTAGGGGTTCCAGTTTCTCAAAATATTCAATAATCTTTAATTGTGCTTTCACTGGATCCATGCTGAATCATGCTTAAAGTAGCCTAACTGAAGTTAGAAGAATTAAGGCTATCAGAATTCATAGCTAATTTTTCCTATTGATTCTAGTGAATATTTTCCAGTTGCAATACTTTTATTCCACTTTAGTAATTATTTCTGCCATTTAATTCTGGAGCTTAGAGTTTCTAGAAAACGCTTATTCCCCTCACAGAGCTACAATTTCCAGAATGGTTTATCAGTCAACCCCTGTTCCTCAGGAACTCTGGCGTGAGAAGCAGTGTCCACTAATGACACTCTGGACAAACGTCAAGGTTCTTTGGGGAAGTAATGACTGTTTAAAGCTGAATAAAAGTGTTCTAAATGTGTGGCATGAACACAGGGGGGTGGGGCTGGGAGGTGGTTTTTGGAGCAGCAATGGCAAGCTGACCATTCTGCTGAGGAGCAAAGGCTGACCATGAGGGAAAGAAAACACACGCGCATGCCTGGCAGGCCTCTCCAGATCGCTCTTTGCCAGGTACTATCGAAAGAACACCCCGGTTCTTGACCTGTTAAATTCAGGACTTTGACACAGTAGCAGCTGCCAGCCGCGAACCAGCAAAATGAGGTCTCCTGAGAGACGTGGGGCAGGGGTAGTGACCCTGTCTTCAGGGATGCAGCGACCCCCTGGAGCGCTCCCTTCAAAATAAGTGGGGGCACTCCGACCCCCACTACACCCTTGCTTGAAGCACTTTAAGAACCAGCGGTGACGACGGAGGGAGAAGAGAAATACCTTTCCGTGCAACAGAATCCGGATTTTTTTCTGACAAGAGGCACCTCTGCAAACACGCGTGGTCCTACGGCTGCAGAAGCGGGAACTCTTAGCAGACGGAACGAGAAAAACAGGGATTCGAAGGGCGGAGCGATCGTGATAAGCAACTCGTCGCCGTCTCTGATTGGGCGGCGCGATGGCTCCCAGGGCGCCGCACATTTTTTCTCTGCCTCCGGCGGGGGAATTGCTCGTGTGCCGGGATGCCTCCAGCAGTGGTGGAAAAGCGATGAATTCCTGGACAGAAATCGCTGGAGCAGTTGTCGGGGGGGGGGGGGGGCGCTTTCCAGGCATGTGTCCCAACTGCATTATTATTTCCATTGCAGCAGCAGCAACGAAGAATCTTGTGGCCTTTTAGAGACCTATACGTTTATGCTGGCATACATTTTCGTGACCCACTTTATCCCACTTCTTCAGAATATTATGTAAAGTTTCCGATTTTATACAATTGCAGTATATATGGGCGGTGCAGCATATGCTGTATATAATCCTGAAGCTCTTCAAGTTTATGAAGTGGTCCTTAATTCAATAAAAGTGTGCGCCAAAATAATGTTAGTAATCTTTAAGATGTCACAAAATTCTTGTTTCCTTGCACATCTATTACTGAATTGGAAGAAAGGATTAATTGCTGTTTTCAATCCTCCTTTATGTGTTAGATTTCCTACTGCCAGAATGCTTGTCTTATCAGCATATCAGCATTGAGTATGACAACTGTTAATGTGATTGGCACTGTCAATCTGTACTGAACTTCCTTCTGATTTCACTGTTTGCAGTTGTGCTTTCCTCCTACTCCCATGTAGTGTATATAAACCTGACACTCTGTAACAGTGGTGGCAAACGTATGGCACTCGTGCTGCAGTGGGCATGCAGAGCCCTCTCTGTCGGCACGCGAGCCAAGTCGCCCCAGCATCGCCCCAGCAGCCAAGCATCGGGTAACAGTGCACATAGGGGCCATACGCATGCTCAGAAAGGAGCAGCAGTGCCAGGCAATAACGTCACAAGCTGCAACTCATTAGCTGCAACTTGTCCGAGCTTTTGCATGGCCGGTCAGTGCGCTGCCAAGGATATATATATATTTGCTTGGACTGGCTGTGAGTTTTAATACATTCATTTTTATTAGCAAGATTTTAGCTTTGAATTTTCTTATGAAAAATTGAAATTTAATATCTAAGATTTAGCAAAGAGATGTTCTAATTAAGAGACTGAGATTCTTTTAATGTTGTGTTGTCCCCCTGGCCTATTTGAATCTGCAGCATCATATTTAGATGTTTTTTCTAAACTAAAACCTCAGTATTCAAGTTTTATTGCAGTGTTGGCACTTTGTGATAAATAAGTGGGTTTTGGCTTGCATTTTGGGTACTCGGTCTCTAAAAGGTTCCCCATCACTGCTCTATAATATCACATGCATCTGAAGAAGTGGACAAGGGTCAACAAAAGCATGTGCCAGAATAATTGAATAGCCTCTAAAGTGCCACAAGTTTCTTGGTTTTTTAAAAAATATATTCTAACTGGAATGATAAGAGAGAAACGGGAGGCATGTGTAAATAGTGATTAGGTCTGACCAGAACTTGGGAGACTGCAGAGTCTCCACTTGGCCATGAAGCTTACTGGGTGACTTTGGGCCACTCACTGACTAAGCCTAACCTACATGTGGTGAAGAAGATTATTATGAAGAAGATTAAAATTAAGATTATTATGATTACATTATATTTAAATGTAAGCCCTGTGGATTCCTTGTAAGAGGTAAAAAGTCAGGGTATAAATACAATAAATAAAGTACTGAGTCTTGAGCTACCTTACAGACCAGGTGAAAGTGGTGCCTGTGCTCAGCACTGTACCTCCAGCACATTTCTTGGTGCTCCTCAAGGTGCCATGCCCCTCCCACTTAAAAAAATATTTCCTGCAGATAGAATTGCTGTGAAATGCATTTATGTTGCTACTGAAAACTAGGGGTTCAAAGGAGGTCTTCATTGTGTTGGGGCTTGTATGTATATGATTGTATACATATTTTCTTGTTTTTAGCTGTTCCAAGTTCCTTTAATTTTGAAAAATCATTAAGTTAATTCCTCTCAACTGCCATTTCCCTTGCAAAGACAGCTGGAACCATTGCATTGCCAGCAGAAACAGACATCAATTGTGATACAACTGCAGAAGCATCAAGATAAGCAATCGAATCAGCAGAACACTGAGGAATGGCCAAGGAACTTTGTTTTAGCACTCTATCTCTATGAATAACTCAAAATGTTTTTATTTTATTATTATTATTACTACTACTCCTACATTGCATTTATATCTTGTGTTCTTGCCCCTTGTGAGGAACCCAAGGCAGTTTACACAGCCCCATTTTATCATCACAACAGGTCAGACTGAGATTGAGTGACTGGCCCAAAGAGCTTCATGGCTGATTAGGGACTAGAACCCAGAACCCACATTCCCAGTCCAACTCTCTAATGAGCATACCGCACTGGATCTCAAAGAACAAATACAAAATAGATGAAGAAACATTCTATAGCTATGTAATGTCAGCCTTTGGGCCTAAAGACCTGTGAACTAGCGACCTAGGCCTAGGCCTCTGATCTGTACAGTGCTCAGGGTTACACTTTAGGCACACACCAAGAATCATGTCTATTTTAACTGTGATGTAGTATTGAGGATCCTCCAGGCCAAACTTCATATTACATGAACTGGACATTTAATAAAAAGTAATCTTAGAGGATAGAGACCAGATCCGGAAGATGCTGCAAGGGACAGGCCTAAAATCACCCCAAAGCTGTTATTTGCCCTGCATGGATGCTGTCTGCAGCAAATGCAAATCCTTTTGTGGTTTTGTCCATTGCTTTTTTTCCCCTTGTCTTCAAGCATACAGCAGTGCAAGATTTTACTTCTAAGGCACACTGAAGACAATGGGGTTTGTATGAATTGAAAAACACAGTATGCTGGATCTTCCTTAGTTTTAAACATTTTTGACACAACCAAAAAGTTTTAACATTCTTTCTTCAAAGCTTAAAGAATGGTGTGCTTGATATATATGTCAACAGCCAAGAATTTAACTGAAATGTTTATTCAGCTTATTAAATGTCTCAAGTAAATCCTCTAGGCATTGCACACACAAAAAAGAGATTTTCTGGAGTGTGGTTTTCAAAAGAGTCTGGTTTTTATCTGTGGTAGATAGATACTACCTTCAACAAACTGTTACTGTTTCAGTTCAACAAACAAGGATCGTATATACTGTAACTCTGCACACTGTTCAGATTTAAATGTTTCATCAAAAGCTGTGGACTGGATGTTCTTTTAAAGCAATGACATTCCTAAGTAATGAGGCAAAAGCTTAGAAAACTCTGCATCTTCCATTTACTAAGAAATCACAGCATCAATATGAGAATGATTCTTCTTCTGCATTATCTATGAGGGATGCTTGGGAATGTAAAGATAGAAGTTCATAGTTTCTCTGCCTATTGGCAATGTAATAATTGATAGTGGCAGAAAAGGCAGGAGGATATTTTATGAAATTTTATTTAAATGAATCTCAGAAAAAATTAACATGACTTACTCCAGCTATTAAAATAAAGATGCTTCAGAGCAACTCCAAAAATACGCTCTGAAAGGTTCTACTTCTTACGTCTCCCTTGTTGAAAAGGCAAGGAGGATGTACACATTATAGGACAAAGGTAATGCCCAGTCATGAGATACTGCAAATGAAGGCACTCAATAGAATACATGGCAGTTAAAATAAAGGGGGGTATTTCATACATTTATGCTAGATGCCTCTTGGTTCAGCATCTCAATTTTCTGCAAAGCTCCCTGTGGTGAGACAGTCTTTTCTGATCCACTGTCTTTCTTGACATGATTGGCTAGTTCTGCAGCTTCTGTCCACGTATTTGTCAGTGGTTTTCCAAGGGTTTCTGGTAGCATCAGTGTTAACAATCCACTCACAAAGGCTATGATTCCAACAATCAACTAGAAGGAAAAAAATATGCAAGTGATGTTAAAAATGCAATGATAAGTGAAGTGAGATATTTTAATTACTATTGTTGCAATGCCACAGAGGAGCTTAATTTTAAAAAGAGGAGCTGCAAGGGGAGCGGCATTTTTCACAAACACTTTCACTTTTTCCAATAGTGTCCCCTGGCCATTTCTTGGTGATTTGTTCATATCTCTTTGAGAAAGACTGTGAAAGTGTTCGCAAGAATCTAACACAAGTGTTAGGAGAGTTTCCCTCATGCAGGTTCAGTCGTGAAACAGAATATTGATGATCTGTATTGGAATACAGATTTCACCCCGTTTTCAGTTGGATGTCCTGTCCGATTTTGCTACAACTAGCATAACAATATGCAGTAAATAATGTGTGGCACAGATAGTCAATTAAGCCACCAGTGCTGAACAGCAGCGTCTTCCATTCACTTTGCAATAAGAATTTATTTTATTTTATTCTTCATTCAAAGCAAGGGCAACACAAAGACTTAGTCTGCCTTCAAAGCTGTTTCAAGTAACCAGTTCCATGTCATCACATATGATGATGTCATCACATTTACTAAGTAACCCATAGCTTGTGCTAAAGCAGCTGTGTCTCTGAGCTTAGAAAGGCATGAAAGAAACAGAGAGTTAGACCAAAACAAGTTCTACCATTGCAGTATCCCTCAATCATGTAGGATTTATTTGTCTAAACCTGCATTGAAGAAACCTATGTATGAGTAAGCACAATTTAATTCAATGGGACTTAATTCTGAGTACATATGCATAGTGTGATGCTGTAAACTAGATGTTTTCTATGAGCCTTATGTTTATCTCTAACGCCTACTCAAAAAAGTTCAACAACCTGGCACTGCAAATCTTACTTATTACAAACAAGTAAGATTTGCAATACATGGCATTGTCTTAATCATTCATATATACAAATGTATTTCTATGAATATTGTAATCCCTTAAGGGCCATGGACCTGTTTATTCAATCTTTTAGTCAAGCTTTTAATATATATTTTAGTGATTTTGAAGTATTTAAGTTCAGCTAGATTGTGCTTGGTGGTGGTGATGATGACATGTATGTGCTGTGAGCTGTCCAGACACTCAGTGTGATTGGACAGCCTAAAAATATCCCAAATAATAAATAAATAAATCAGCTTCAATCGGCTGTAAACCTGAAGTTACTGAAGGCAAATCTTGTTCACAGGTGCTGCAGGGCAGGTTTGTTCCCACAGACTTCTAAAGCAGCACTTCATATTCCTCTACTCCCACTTTCCAGTACCTGGTATCTTCCAGATGTGTTAAGAGTATAATTCCCAACATCTCCCAGCAATTCCTGCTGGCTAAGGGAACACTGGAATTGAAGCCCAACACATCTGGAGGTGTTGAGGAAGGCTGCCTCATAACAGTCAGGTCACTGGCCCATTTAGCCCCATGCTATCTGTTTTGGTGAGTGGTGGCTTGCCAAAGTCATGCAGCAAACGCTTGGAGGGTTCAATCTAGGTCATTCTAATGCAAACAACATGCTCTTCTTTTGAGCTAAAACTCCTCTCTTTTGAGCTAAAACTCTTGCAAATATTTATGCTTTAATCTGGCCCACTGGCTGACTTTGTCACCTTATACCTGAGCATGTGTTCACTCCCTCAACCCAATTTTTCCTCTGAGAAATATGGTGTTTAAATATTAGGGGTTTTTTAGTGTACAAACTACTATGAGATTTTAAAAATGTTTTAAAAGGAGAGTTACTTTAAGACTTTGAGATTGTGGCAAGGGCTGCTTTCACTTCTGTCTTGCTAGACTAACTAGAAATGTCTCAACACTTCTAGGAAACCCAATACTTCTAGGACATTGAATTCCCAAACCACCTGCATAATGTGAGAACAGCACTCAGCAATGCACAATGTCCCAACCAGAATTAATATCTAAATTAAGAACAGTAGAACACACCCAGAAGGATATTTTATACATACACATATGCACACACACACAGTGAGTTCTTAAGCCAGAGACAGGCCTGCTGAGCTGGTGGGCCAGTTTGCACACTTAGCTATCCAGTATAGTCAAGTTTCATGGTGCAATTAGAGGAGGCACATACCTGTGGCATGAAGATCCAAACACTAGACAGATAGACACAGAATGGTGCTACCACACTCCCTACTCGGCACATCATGCTCCCACTTCCAACAGCAAGGGACCTTCAGAGTAAACAAATCCTTCAGTTCAGTTAGATACTGGAGTAGCAGGGCTATGGAATACAATCCTAAGGAAAAATATGTTCACCTTACCGTGCAACTGTTGGATATAGCTCTGCTGTATACAGATAAATAAGGCCAAATGCAACGCCTATTGTAAACTTTCCAGCCATATTTGCTAAAATAATTAGAGTACTGAAATCCTGTAAAGAGGAAAAACATTTACAAAGCATGAGGAAAATGAATTCATCTATGGTCAGCTTTCTACGTATGTGCAAGAATCCAGATTATAAGCCTCATTATTTTCTAAAGATTAAGGAACACTCCTGTTTTACATTTAATAGTTCATAGCAGATATTGATCAGATTTCATTGATTAAGTAGTTACAATTAGCTTTGAGTTTACATTTGCAGAAGCCTTACAGGTTCTCCTTCAGTAAAACCTGTCCTTCCATATGCTTATTAAATTCAACTTTAATAATGCTTTCCACCAATTTACCCAGAACAGACATTAAACTATCCAGCCTCCAATTTTCTGGATCACCTCTGGGATTCTCCTCAACATCTACTTAGTTCTCCTCTGGGAAGAAATGTTAGATTAGCAACTTACTGATTTCATAAAAAGAAGATTGTTAGTATTAGACACATATTTCTGTGGCTCAGCCCCTTAAGCCATGGTATCAGCGCCACAGCTTGCAATTATTTTACAAATGTCAGAACTGCTGCGATGTTGGCAAGAATCCCTATTGGTCAGTGTGGCCTGACATGGCACAAACTAACCAAGAGAAGATGCAATTCTGTGGAACATGGGTTATTTCACTTCTCTGTCATTCCTCGAGTTACTTTGGCCATGCTGAGACCAGCTGCACCAGGTTAATAATTCAAGGGGAATGCGTACAATAACATTTCATAATTGTATAGCAACATCACTGGTCTTATGACTAGATCCTCTTGCCTCCAGGTGCCCATTGGCCCCATCTGCACAATGCCCACCATGTTCTATATGTATTTCTATGGCATCCAGGCATGAGTCACTCACTTGTGGTATGAGCATCAGTACAGCACAGATCATTGCACTCAATATGAGGAATGGGATCAATGTGTTCCTTCGCCCCAGTTTGTCCATTCCTATGCAAGCAATGACATATGCAGGGAGCTCCACAGCACCTGCCATTTGAGAATTCACATAAAAAGGCTTAACATGCATGCACTGATTGCTTTCCATAAAAACAGCTTTTATTAAAAGGATCTGACCAGCCACAGTAGTTAAGAGCATCTATTTGAACATGGAATCCCCTAATCCAGCTATATATTCAAGCCTTTATGCCCCAATCTTGTTGTTCTGAGATATGGGGACAATAAAACTCAGCCTAGCTTAGGTTATTATTAAAAGTATTGAGAGTAAAGTACATTCATGCTCTGGAAGAAGTGATCTGTATAAGCATAAGCTATTACTAAGCACCTTCCCCAATTGTTAAAAGGTTTCCCCAATATCATGGTTGGTTTATTTTTTTTAAAGCAGCCTTCACAATGCGCTTTTTAAAGGGCTCTGTTCTGCAGTACTTTAGCACATTTACTGAGGTGTGGGAAGGCCCACGTCACCATTTTCATGGAGGCAGGGAAGGGGAACTACACACCCTTAGCTTTCCAATTAATTGGAACTTTTATACCTAAGAGTGTGATCCTAAATACATCCAAACAGTGGCCACAATCCAAACTGAAGTGTGATGCCCCATTCATTGCAGTGGAAGGGATTTAAGCACATAGGGTACTTAACATTTCCACTAAAGGCAGGAGGACTTAGGTGTGTTTTGTTCTGGTTGAACCATGTACGCCTCCAGGTACTAGCAACTTACTTTCAGAGGGACTACAACTCCCTCTTTAAAAAAATAACCAAAAACTGATAACTGTTGTATTAATTATGGAAAGATTTGCTCTCATAGCCACAATGGCTGACCATATATTGAAGCAAAACCCAATATAATCCTCGATTTTCTTAAGAAACCCTTTAAATTACTGGCTGAGAATGTCATTTTGTGGGGAAGAGCCCTCTCCCATCCACAGATTCAGATACTGTGGCACGGAGACACTGGTATGGCAAGCCTTGCAGCACTGTGAGATTCCTAGGCAGGAAAGCAGGACAGGAATGGAGGGATGTGAGGAGCTAAGCATTCATGCACATAAACACCCTCATTGCACACATGAGGTCACATGCACAGGATGAGAGCCAAGAAGGCTTGATTTGTTTAGGCAGGATTCCCAAATCAAAACCAAGTAAATCTTAAATGAGGGCTAACCAACACATGCAAATAGCAGCTTGAAACCAGGCCAAGTGTTTTCTGGAGAGAGGCCTCAAGGGGTGGAGAAACATTGCTGGACAACCAGAATATAGATAGAGATAGCCTCATACATGCAAAATTATTTAATATTAGCGATTGGGAAGAATCCTGCCAATACATTTTTCCTTATAGCTTCATAAGGAAAAGGGCTAGATACTTAAAGAAAGCTGGACTTATTGGAGGGAACCTGGACTATCCCCAGGGCGGCCAGCTCCACTGCCCCATGGCCAGAGCTATGCTCGAAATGACACAGAACACAAACCACGAGAACTGCCTGGCAAACGATTTGCATGAAACACTAACTTGGAGGAGACTACCTTTGGGTCACCTACATGTATGAATAGGGCCTGAGTTTGGAAGTAACTGGTGACAATCACTCCATCTTTACCAGAAAAAAAAGATATGATTGTATTTCTGTTGTGATTACAATAAGTTACATCAAACAATATTTACCTATGAGAAACAGATTTAAATATTCATTGCCTCCAAGGTTCACGGAACTGAGGGAGAATACATAATATCCTAAACTCCCAGTGAACCAAACCAGCCAGACTGTAATTGTCCTTCTTGCAATGTGCCAGTTACGAAACAGATCTAAGATGGTGTGCTTCTTCACGGGAGAATTGTCATTATCACCCGTTCTGCTACTGACAAGATCATCTTGGTCTGAACACAGCTCAGAAATTTTACAAGGTGTGCTTATTTTATTCCATCTTGCCATTACATTAATTACTTTTTGTGCTTCTTCATGTCTTCCCTCTGTGAGCAGCCAGAAGGGCGTCTCTGGGAGCATCCAGCAACACAAGACAAAGGGGAGAGTTGTTATGGAAAGGCAGATCTGGTAGACCCACCAGGTCTCTGCCAAGTAGCCTACCAGGGCCACAACCATAACTCCCACTGCAAAAAATGCATGGACGTGCATGGATGCCCACGTGCGAGCCTTTATGCCAGTAAATTCAGTCACATAAACAAACACTACAACCAGATAGCCACTGGAAACCTGGGAGGGGGGAAAAACAGAAAAAGAAAATGGCTTCAGTTGAGACTCCCTCTACAACAAAAGTAAAAAGAGATGGTCTGCTGTGCAAGGCTTGCAGAGACTCAGAAGTTCATGAAGTCCATATGCTATCTGTGGTAAAGAGGAAAGCAGTGATCCAAGAGCAAATGGTGCAATAGCACATGACACAAATATAGGACACGATCCAGTGAATGGGACAAACGACCTGGAGCAGGGAGAGCTAGATTAAGCTCCCTCATCTGTTATGAAATGCACAATGTGGCCTTGGGCTAAACCATTCTCTTGAAGCCCACTTAACCTCACAAAGTTGGTGTACAGAGGAAGAAAAGGACAAAAAGGAAAGGAAAGGAAAAGAAAAGAACAGAACAGAACACTGCCCTTGCTCATTGCCCTGATTTTTTTTCCAAAATGTGGGATCCAAGTATATATCAATAATGGCATCTTTACTATGTAAGCCCCATTGATTAAATGTGGTGGAGAGAGAGGTACATGCTTACCTCTCCCACCGCAAATCAATAGGATTTCAAAGGAAACCTGTTGGTTGATATATAACAGTGGAAGTCAATATTCCCAGAATATTGGAAAGCTCCTGGATTATGGCTTTAAAATGGAGCAGCTAGGTTTCATGCATTTCAATACTATTGAAATCCCACTGAAATCAATTTAATTAAAATCTACATACTCTGCATTTGGAGACTGCAGCTACAGGACACTTTAGGACATGAATAAAGGAGGAGCCCCTCTCTCTCTCTCTCTCTCTCTCTCTCTCTCTCTCTCTCTCTATATATATATATATATATATATATATATATATAATTGAAAAGAAGAGTAAATGTGGATTCTTACCATTGCAAGGAGAAAACGGACTATAACAAAACTATTGTAGTCAAATGTGAACGCCACGGCAATGCCAAATATAAACTGGCCAGTGCTTGTAAGCCACATGATATAACGTCTTCCTACCCTGCAGAATATAGCACAAAACAACCATAACATTAACTATTCCAATCACTACATTAGAAAAACATTTCTAACTTGGGGAGAGAAGAGGGTGCATTACCAGAAAACAAACAAGGAAGTCCCACCAATGCTACAGTTACAGTTATGGTTTACCACAAGAAGCCTAGATTTTATCTTGTTATTTCTGCAATTCTAGAACAGACTGGAAATAGTCAAAAGAAGTGGAACAGAATAGATTTGTCTTAATCTCTTTTTAAACAAAAGACCTGTCCTCAATGCATAGACTTGTTGTTAGACTTAATTTAAAAAAAATCAGAATTCAGTGAAGTGTATTTTTGAGCAGGCATGTGTAACGTAGAAACATAAGACTGCAGTCCTGACCATACTTAAGAAAGTAAGAGCAGTCGTACTGGAACGGGGCAAAGTGATCGGCAGTGGTCGTCATGATGCTCTGGGAAGCCCAGAGTCAGGGTATGATTACGCCAGCTCCCGTTGTTCTCCCACTTACCTGCCAGCAATGGAAACACAGTGGGACTTACATCCAAGTAAATATAGCATGGGATTGGGCAATGAGACATTTCATAATTAATGCTTAATAAATAGGCCACAATTCAGCCAGTGTCACAATGTACCACATCCCTTTGATTGCAGTAGGAGAGAATACTTAATTTAATATCCCTGCCTAAAATGCTAAAATGTCAGGATACTTATATCCTATATACTTAATTTAGGTAGTCAGGGTATATATGTTTAAATAAATGATATTTCAAATAATTGAATTGGGATATTGTTTAGTCTACATTTAAAAATATATTTAGATAAATACATTCTAAGGGATGCAGAGTGGAGGCCTACCAGTTCTTCCTTTGGGAACAAAAACTATATAAATCTGCTAGATAGGTAGAACATGTTGTACCTTATCAACAGAGAAGAGGCTAAGACCAACAAGAAGAATGGAAAGGAAACACAATGAATTTCTGGCTTACAGATAACATGATGCTAACCCTATTCAGTGTTGCATGATAACGGTCTGTAATACAGAGTACAGTACTGCAAAGGACATTATCTCTTTTTACTAAGCCCCAGCCTTGTTCCTCCAGTAGGTAAGGAAGGGCTGGCAGGGAAGAAGGCAGTCACTGAATAGGGGCACATGAGTTCGGTAGACCTAGCACTGAGAGTCAGTCTAAATGTGGCATGAAGCGGATAAAAAGGAATGACCTGCGCAGCATTACATGTACCTGGAGTCTCATGTAAAGCAAGCTGCTCTGCTTGTGCTTGCTGGGTTAGGACAGCCGGAACACCTAAGCCCAATGGGCACTGTGTTAGCAGTGCCTAAGTAACAGCTACCATGAGTCTGGTTCCAGTGAGAAACCAGGTACATGTTGCACCACGTGGCTAAGTCTTCTTTGCTTGCCTGGAATCAAGTTTCAAAGCAAACCCAAATGTGAGGTGCAGACAGCATTGGACCTGAGAGTCATGGCTCATGGAAGGATGCAGACAACATAGGCAAGGAAGGAAAAGGTGCCTGCTCAGGAGCTCTAGAATCAGGGTCCAGGTGACAACAATCTGGTTTGCATGTACCACTAACCCACATTTGAACCCACTGTTTGTTGCCCTAACCTAGGTTTGTCCAGCAGACAATCAAACAATCTATTTTGAATATGACACTAACTCATGTTTGAGCCCTTTATTTATTTATTTATTTATTTATTTATTTATTTATTTATATTCCACCTTTTTTCCTTTCAAGGAACTCAAGCTGATTTGAGTAATTCTACTCCTCCTCTCAATCTTTTCCTCACAACAACCCTGTGAGGTAGGTTGGGCTGAGAGTCTGTGACCTGTTTGCTCAATCACTGGGTAGCTTGTTCCCCTTCTCCTTCACCTGCTCCTCCCTTGCATCCTAAATTCCTTTTTAGTGCTGTAATACTGGCTTGTAAAGTAGCTGGAATTGTTTTTACCAGTTCCTTATCACTCTGTAGCCTGTCAAAACAAGCTATAAACAACCCAGAGTTTTAGGTTCACACATGGCTTAAACAACCCAGAATACACAACCCAGCAACAAAACATGGGTTCTCTTTCTAGATTCTTTACGCTTAACACACTGTGGTTTTTTAGCACAGCCAAGTTCACACATCTCCACAATCTATTATTCAACAACACATACCGCAGCTTAGTGCTCTGAGGAAACCAGGCCAAATATTCCTTTATCCAAACAGCTCTGGGCAGCATACATAGATTACCAAGTCGGCTTGTTGGGTAAGCAGTGATTTGAATCTGGTTTGAAATCTATTTTAGGCAAATTCTGTACTGTACCTGTCAGCGATATCTCCAAAGATCACAGCTCCTAAAAGGACTCCGAACATAAATGTGGGTTGTGTTAGTTTGGCCAGCCATTCTTGCTGACAGACCAAATCCCATTCTGTTACTATAGTGCTCTGCCACTTGGTCTGGTCGTAGATATACCCATCAGTACATGGGAAATTGGTCTTGTTGCCGCTGTATTCGTAAGTAAATGTCGATGTGATTTCTCGTTTAGACCTGCTGCACTGGTTAAGTTCCCAAAGGTCCCCATTTTCCAGCTGGACCACGATGTAGCTGTGTGCTGATGTCCACAAGTTCCAGACATCCTCTACTCTTGAACTAGATGAGTTGCCAATTAGAACACCACTCACATTTCCGGGGACACCGCACACAAAATTTGGTGTAACAGACAGGAAGACTGAGGCCAAGTAGTGGATGCCACAAGACATAGCTTGAAACACAGATGCAAAATAAACCCATGCCTGATATCTGAAAAAAAATAAAAGGTATGATTATAATGTTTACCATTTAAGTTATATATCACAACACTCTCCAAGCTTCATACGTGATTCATAGAATATACCTGCTTCATAGAACATCCTATTTATTTCAAAAGAGCTTACCTCAATGTTTGGGTGCTTAATTAAAGTGTACTAGGAGGTCAATATATTTTTTACTCATTGATACAACAAAACTGTATAAGCCACTATAAAACTGTTTATTTATTTACCACCTTCCATCCGAGAAACTCAAGGCCGCTCACATAATTCTCCTCCTCTCAATCTTATTCTCACACAACAACCCTGCAAGGTAGCATGGACTGAGAGTCTATGACTGGCCCAAAGTCACCCACTGAGCTCCACGACTAAGTGAGGACGAGCACCCAGATTGCCCAGTTCCCAGTCCCACACTCTTAACCACCACACCACACTATCTGTCATTTTATTATCTTTTGTTTTATATGTTTATATAATTAAATATTATCTTATGTAGATAAGAACTAAGCCTAATAGATACTGTCACGCCTACAGTCTCTGAATCAGGTAGAGGAAACTTATCCCCTCCAGATATTTTCACCAGCCTATAACTGCCTTCAGCCACATGTTGCCCAACTAAATGAATAATATATCTCAAAATAAAGCATAACTAAACAAGACTCTGATATCAGGTCCCTAGCTGTAATCTAAAATGTTGTCCATAATAGTGCTAATATTTACAAAAATGAATAATTTAGAATGTAATCCTATGCAGGTTTGAGAGAGAGAGAAAGTCCTACAGCTCTCAGCATTAGGTTTTTTTCCTATCTAACATACATAGGACTGTGCTGTTAGGCTCCTCTGTACACACGTACAAAAGAAACAGTAAATATACATGGGGGTTTAACATGCCAGATTGGTTTGAAATTTCCTCTTGCTCAACCCCCAAGTGTTTTTTAAACTCAGAGGAATGTAAATAAAATAAAATAAAATAAAAAAATAAAATAAAATAAAATAAAATATACAACCTCATTCAAGAGATCTGCTAAAGGAAAAACCAGGCTTATTATACTAAATATTAAGCACATGTATGTTGCAAGCCTTGTTTATGGCAAAAATATACAATTTCAATGTCTAAACTTTCCAGAAAGTAATTAAATTATTGTAAAAGGTACAACTGAAGGGTAAACTTGATAGTAAATTGAAGTAAATGTCTAAACTACCATCAATTTTAGGCAATCCAGTTTGCACAGTTTTTTAAATGGTTTATGTTAATAACACAAGTGACATATCAAGTGAAAAAAAATTCTTCTTAGTGCATTTTGTGAAAGAGTTCTCCGCTATATTAATGTAACTTCCCCAGATGCTTGAAGGGAAGGGAAGGGATTGATATTTAAGATATAATGCTTAGAAATGAGTGAAGCAACAATATTGTCATTACACTTGAATCTTGTTCAGTTGTAATAGCTTCGGACTGATCTGGTTTGCACTTAGCAAAAATCCACTATGGCTGAATTTAACTGCAAGGTTTCTCATTGTGGCAGCTGCTACCCTTTTGAATATCCAAGTGTGCCTTGGCTTGATATTATGTGCAAAACCTGGTGAGGGTGTGTTGCTAAGGTGCTGTTAATGACACTTACAAGTGATGTATAAACCGTAAAACAGGCCATGATTTCAGGGTGGCATGTCGAGCATTCCAACATCAGGTTTATTCTAATATGCAGTGGGACACGTTCTTTAAAAAACGTGCAGTGGAAACTACATTTTGGTGCACTTGAGAATATAAACTTCCATCTTTGTAAAGTTTTCATTTAGAAAAACTCTGGGAGGAATCCCTTCAAACACTGCGGATGGGGATGGTACCACCAAATTCTTGTCCTGTCAAAAACACTGCTTAGACTAAATCCTGGAATAAGCTATCCTTGCTGGGTTTGCATGTAACAAGAAACAAGGGTGCCTTTCCCACTATGACTCAAATGTTCAAAATGGTGGCAGCTACCAGAAGGTAATTCTGCAAGGTAATTCACCCATGGTTACCTCTCATTCTGGTGGCAACCCTGTTTGTCATTGCTGAACTGAGTTTTTCCCAGCCTTGCATCATGCACCAGGGTAGAGACTCTGGCACAAGATTTAAGAAAAGGAAAGAAAAAAGTTAAATCTAGCCTATATTTTAGAATTACAATAAATTAGAATTACAGTTGTTCTTATTACAGTAGACTATGTGTGAACGTTTGTGATAAAAATAGCAACACGGAGTGGAAACTTTACTCCTTTTAAAAACTTCAGACTCAGATGCATAGTTCAGATATCATCTGTGATGGTTTGTGAATGATAGATCTTTTAAAAGCAACCACCAGACACACTTACTTGCAATTAACATGCCAAGCCTATACAGTTACTGCTAACACAGTGGCTTGCACAAGCTTAGTTTCATCCTTTCTTACACAAATCGGCTGTGCCACCTGTCATCTGTCACTAGAGCAGGAGCCTGCAATAGAATGTGCATGTGCTTTGGCAACAGAGGAACAAGCTTTAAAATAATTGATCCTTGGATCATTTAATTTAAGGTAGGCCATGGGATGAAGGTTTCCCGGCCTCTCTTCTTATAGCTACCAGCACCCCTGCCCTAAAAGATACTCTGAAGCACTGAGGAGGCCTCCTGAACCATCTGGGGCACTGAATGAGCCCCACACAGTTTGGGGCAATTCTACACCCCATCCCCACCCACTGCAGCATCTATGAGTACCTACATTGGTTCAAGAGAGGTTTTTTAGAGGCACAGAGGGAAAGGGAAACTTTCCAGCTATTGTGTTCCTTAAGTTATCTTAGGATACACACTGCTTAGAGGAGCATACCTCAAATCAATGTAATAAAAACAGGTCAAAAACACAGCACCATAATGTTAAAAGAATTAATGCAGAACAGTCCCAAGAAAATTACATGTTTTTATGCAGGCTAAGCTATGTGGGGTCAGAAAAAGAAGAAACGCAAATATTCATAGTAAGGTATTTCATTTTCCCCTTTAATCAGGAACCCTCAGACTGTCCCACAGGATTTACAGGCACCAAAGTTACGTTGATACTTTTTCTATCCTTCCAAACAGCTTTACTAGGCAACTAACTTATATATAGACAGAAAAGTTAACTGTTGAAGAGCACACATTTTTGAGGAATGTTTTCAAGGGAGGAGAATTTTTTAAAATAGAAGGTCAATAAAATGCTTTTTCACCAAAATAAATGAATACCACGATGAGTAGTATTGCTCTATCCATAAGCCAAAAGTAATTTATCTATAAATAGCTGTATGGTTCTTTGTTTGAATTATAAAACTGAAAGATTTGCCAGGCTACAGAGTTGAAACTCTTCCAAAAAGATGCTGTTTTATGCATTACAGGATGGCATAGAAAGCCAACTTCAGTCACTTATTAAGATGCTTTTAAAATTCTGTTAATTGTGGTCACTTGCCTGTTTCTGTTGACTCACTGAAACAACTGTACCTGGTTAGAGTAATCATTTGCAGAATGGATCTGCAGCGCTCCTGCATTTGCCATCCAGTGGAAGTGGGGTATAGAATGGCCCAGCGTCCAGTCTTGCCCACCTGGTTATGGAGAAGGTCATGACTCCTTCCCCTGACTCCATACCCTTTCTCTCAATCACCAACTGTTTGGTGATTTATTATCCTTTGCACAATTTACCCCATCCTTAAAGGTTTTAAATGCCTTTCCTGAGGCTTAGCTCCTGTCAAAAGGAGGCTTACTTTTGACCTAGTTTCTTTTGCCCCAAATAGCCTCTTCAGAATGGAATGTGGGCCTCAAGTTCATCACCCTGTAGCTAAGCTTTGTTTGTTCCTGTGTCACAGAAACAGCTTAATGTTCAAACCACATGAAATTAAAAAGGGCACTTAAAAAAAAAATCAAAACCCTTAATTTAATGTGTTGCTAAACAAAAAATATAGCCCATTTCATTTATATTTCCTGGGGCTAAGCACAATAGGTAGGAGCATAAGGTGTCACTAAATGTTAAAATTTTCTTGGAGCTTTATTTGTCAAATAGATGTTTAATAGATGTTTCTCTTCAGCAGAGCCCATAGGATAGTTTACAATCTCATTTAGCCATTTGTACGTTAAATAGAATACAGAATACATGTATGTTTAACAAGAGCTATGCTATTATTAGAGCTGTGCTATTATTAGCCGTTAGTCATTCTTAGAGTTGGCCAACATTTTGGTTGCCATTATGGCTCCCATGGCAAACTCAACTCATCATCCTAGCATATTTGCATGTTGTAATATATAAGACATCCTATTAGAAACATCCTTGCTCATATTCCATGTCAGGAGCTGCTGGCAAGAGAAATGATATTTCCAGCGCAATGCTACCAAGTCATGTGATAAATGAAAATAAACCTTCTGGCCAACTTTAAGCAGTAGAGTACTTGCTCCTAGGGTGACTATAACAGATAGGCAGTCTTGATGTGACTAATATATTAAGTGTGAACATTTATTTATAGCATAGGCTGCCTGTAATAGGAGAGGTTACAGCAATTTCATCAAATAACACATTTATCACTGCCCCCAAAGTGCTCCGGAATAACTTGGTGGCATCTTCTATAAATTAACACCCTGTACAATCTCATCTTGGGTTAGGAAAATATATCCAGTTGCTTTTATGAAATGTAAGGAAAATTAGGGTGCAAGGTATTGACTTCCCTGAGGTCATCCAGTAAGTTCCATGGCTCTGAGTAACCATATGAACTCAGATCTCTTAAATCCAAGTCCCAAACTGCATCTGCTATGCACCATATTGGGCCTGACATTGGCTAGCCTCAGCCAAGCCAGTATTTTCCAGCCTAGCCTACATCATAGGCTAGATGATATTGATGGCATTGCATTTATTTCCAACTTTTTCTCTCTTGTGAGGAACCCAAGGTGGCTTACATTGCTCCAGGTTATCCTCACAACTCTTTGATGTAGGTTAGGCTGGGAGCCTGTGACTAGCCCAAAGTCACCCAGAGAGATTCCTGGCCAAGTGGGAGCTAGAACCCGGACCTCCCAGGTCCCCAGTCCAGCACTCTAAGCAGCACACCACACTGGCTGTTAACATAGTTGTAACCATTAAACAGAAAAGCACACCTGTAGGCCTTTCAGAGTTTCTTAGAGGAATAGTGGATTTACGAGAATGATAAACAAACTGTGCAAGAGGTACTGGTGTGCAGTAGAATCTGAATGGGATGTATTTAGTATGGTCCCAGCCTTATGACTCCAAGTATGCTTGAAAAGGAACACAACATCTCATAAACAAGAGAAAAGATCAATGTGAACTGATGATATGGAAGATTACAGATAGGTGGGGTTTCTCTGAGTAAACACAGAAGAGTGTGTCCCAAGATAAGATGAAATGCAACCTTAGTGAAAGCTCATTGGACATTTGACAACATGTCATAACAAGGTCAGTAATAAGTCAAACAAGATCTAGTTGTCCCTTTTGGCTTCCTGTTGTGGCCCACCAAGGAACAGTCTTGTGAGGATTCACTGGCACTCACAGATGAAACTCAGGTAGCCACTGGAATGGCAGTCAAACTGCAATTCTCATAACAATTATATTGGCCAGTACACATATCTGGAGTTAGCAACCCGGAAGCACTGGGCACGGGGGCGGGGGCAATGCTGCAGGTTGGGAAGAGTTGCAGCAAACACTCCTGCTTCCCAATGCAACTATTCTCTAAATTCCTATATCTGAAAGCTGCTTTTCCTTTTAAGAGCAGCACTGCATCTATCTTATACACTCTGGATAGGTTTGCATAACACAAGAAGCGATCTTGAAACCTTATCATTGTGAGTTTATTGTCCATTTCCAGAATTTTTCCATGGAAGGATGAGTTTTATGAAACCACTGAGAGAACCAGAGTTTCCGAGCTTTATCATGGTTTCTTCAGCTGTCCAGACCCAGGACTGTGATTTTATCACTGTTGGCATGGAAACACCATAGAATCCTCCAGCAAGAGCAGCAATGGAAGCAGGCACCTCTATCTTTCAATTTCTACTACCCTCAAATCTCTAACAATAGTCAAGTCATTGCTCACTTTAATCCCATTGGCCAAACAATGTACCTGTGAAAATACACAGAGAATATACTCAAACTGAGAACTGTGAGAATATACAGAGGGATGCTTAGCAAAACTGTTTATTAAATAAAAATGTTTGTCGAGGCTGGAGTGGCTGGGAAGAACTGCAAATATGCAAGTACACTTAGGAGAGGGGAAGAATCCACTTCAGGACCACAGTGGCACAATCAGAATGAGGCTGCAGCTGTACATGGACAAGCATTGTGAAAGGGTGAGGGTTTTCTTGATGGGAGTTACTGGAATGTGCGGCGAGGCCAGGAGGACAAAATGGTGACCACAGAAACCATGCTGCCCAGGTAACCATATGATAGTCTGACTAGTAATTTCAGCCAAAAACCTGCACCCTGTGCAAATAGTACAGGTTATTTGTCATATCATGTAAACCCAACCTTTTTGTCTCATACATGTCTGCCCCTCCTATCCTTCTTATATGAGTTTTCACTGAGTCTTTTCCTGAACGCACCATCCATCACTGTAACAATTTTCGGAGGGTAGCTATGTCAATCCACCACAGCAAAACCAAAGAAGTGTTGAGGCACCGTAAAGCCTAGCCAGTTCGGCCATCAATTTGGGGCCTGCACCCATATGTGGTGGAGAAGACAATCAGCAGTTACTAGTCCTGGATAGCTATCCAGACCAGAGGCGGTATGTGCATGTTAACCAGTTGCTGCGAAACTTGGGCAGGAGGAAGCTGTTGCACTCATGTTCTTTGTGTGGAATCTTGAGGGCAGGTGACCGGCCTCTAGGTGAGTAAAATGCCAAACAAGATGGACCCCTGCTGTGACCCAGCAGGGCTCTTCTTATGTTCAGATGAAATGCATTGGTCTTCAAGGCTCCACAGGACTCTTGCCACCATGGTGGGTGAGTTGGAAGACCCTGTGCCCAGCTTCTTCCAGTGACCCCAGATTTGGCTTTCTACTCCTTAAATCCCAGTCTGGTTTAGACCTCTTTTCTTCTGTAGGCTCCCCCCACCCAGCCCCCAGCCCCGTTTTTGACTTCCAGTTCTATATTTGAGACTCTAGCTGACCAGTTCCTGGAATCCTCCCACTCCAGCACTGGAACTGAGGATTTTATCATATAGATGAGTGAAAAGTTTTCTACAGGAAAGAGAGTAAGGCTCCAATTCTATGTACACTTACCTAGGAGTAAGCCCCATTCTACACAGTGAAAGTGTCTTGCCCATTCTGAGTAATTGGTCTGTGATGTAAACCTATTTATCTCCCTGTACTGGACATCTTTAAACTTATCTGCAACTGAGAACTTTGTTATGTCTACCTGTATCATGACAAGATGTATTTCGAGGACATAAGGGAAGAATAATTTAAGACCAGAATAGCAGATAGTCATACACTGTTTCCTTCATGTACTTTCAGATTCTACTTGATACATTTTCAATATGGTTTCTGAATCTATTTCATAATTTTAAATTTAAGAGTTTTGTGTCAGTTAATAAATATTAATAATAAATCAATAAATATCACAGTCTTTAAGGTGTTGCATGTCTGCTTATAATTACATTTTGCTACTTTTTTTTGTTTGTTTCTTTGTTTTTGTGACTGGTGGCCTCTGTAATTCCCATACTTTTTAAAATAAGACCTAACAGAATATCTGAGAAGCTTTGGCAGGTATCTTTTAACACACACATGGGAGATAAAAATAGCAAAAGTCAATGAGACATAATAATTTATGAAACTGGAATAAATGCGTACTAGATCCAGAAGCAGTGCTATTTCTAGGAATCTGATGTGTTGCAGCTGCAGAAAGAAAGGCATGACCTTTCTGATCCTGCCTCACAGATTTATACTTAATTCCAGATCTTTGCCATTATGGGTTGCTTCTCACTTTACAATTGTCAAACTACAAACTCTGTGTGTGTGCCATGCTGTTTACATGTCTCAGTCACTGCTTTTCTTAGCAAAAACATTTGCATGTATCAGTTGTTAAGAACAAATGTAGAATGAGGAGCAAGCTGCAGTCTGAACCCATGATGTTTACACAGAAGGCAAATATTACATTACATTTGTGCTCCATCCGTTTTTCCAAGGAGCTCATCATCTGATCTATTGGATAGTCCAATTTCATCCTCAGCACAGCCCTGTGAGGCAGAGTAGATTGAGAGCTTCCGTGATGTGGTAGTTGGACAGTGGGACCCAGGAGCTCTGAGTGCTAGTCCCCACTTGGCCATAAAGCTCACTGGGTGACTTTGAGCTGGTCATTCACTCCCAGCCTAACCTACCTCACACAGTTGTTGTTGCGAGGATAAAATGGAGCTATATACCTGGGTTCCACACAAGAGTAAAACAGTTGGGATATAAATGCATTGTAGTAATAAGAACAATAATAAGGTTGGGCCAAAATGCTAAAATAAGCCTGAACCCAGGGATTATACCCTCTCCTGATAAATAAGTTGCTGGAAATTCCACTAAAATCATCAGTCTTAGAACAGCAGGTATGTTCAACACAAAAACTACACCTTATTCCTATTGATAAATGTATCCCATTATGAATATTCCAAAATATTTTTCAAGACAGATCCATTCTCTTCTCCAACCCTACATCCAACCCACCAGTACAAAGATCAGTGCAACCAAGAGCACCCTGAACATACATGCGTTCTTCATTTCCTAGAAAAGAATGCAATTTATAATGCTATCCTCATCTCCAAGTTTGAGGAACTCCACCAGTGGGAGGACTCCATCCTGGTCTGTGAGTGTAGATTAGCCACCAGGAGTGATCCTGTCAAATGTCAGCCTCAAACTGAAGCACTCAGGAGCTGCTTCGGACCTGCTGGACACCAAGTCCCTAGAGCTTAAGGCATATTCCAAGAATACAGATTTACTGGATCTATGCTTACATATACATCCCAAAAACATCTATTTACATATGGAGATTCCTCCAAATTTACCATGGATCTTTATACAAACCCAAAGACCCCAAAACTTTCAGAACTGCATTCAAACAATGTATTCTATCACCAGGGCTTAACATGAGCCATGGCTTGAGAGCTCATGTACAGTGTCAGGCTTAGCATGATGAAAGTTCACTTGAGTATATGCAGAATAACCACAATTGCAATTCTGGGGTTGAGGGATTTCTACAAAGGGAGCGTCTGACTCTTTTTTATATAGAGCAATCCTATTCCTATTTACTCAGAATTAAGTCCCATTGAATTTAATGAGCTTGATTCCCAGATGAGGCTGTATAGGTTGCAGCCTTAAAAAAAACAAAAAACAAAAAAACCCTGTCAATAGGGTTGTGGCTTCTCTCCCTACACGACGTCCCATATGTGCATCCATCGATGGGGGCTCAGTGGCCAACGAAGGCCTCTGTACCCCCCCCCCCCGCGGACATTTCTAAGGTTCTCACGTGCCCCCAGGCGTGGCGAAGTGGTAAGCCTGGCGGGCTAGAGCACCAGCCTGTGATGCTGACGAAATGAACCTGTGCCCCGCTACCTCTGGAGTGCTCCTTGCAAGGCTGTTCTGAAAATAAAATTTCGGTGGTGGGGAGAGCGGCGCGCGCTGCTTTGGCTTCCCTGAAGCAAGCGCGGGGTAAAGATACAGAGCCACAAAGACGCGGCGTGCTGTTCGAAGTGGCGGCCCCACGGCGGCCGCATTTCTCGCCTCCCCTCTCCCCACTGCGGCCCCCTTTCCGCAGCAGCCCGCCGTCCTCTCCGCGCGTCTTCCTGCGGACTCTATTACCTGCCGAAGTGTCCCAGAGAGTCAAAGAGGAGGTCGAAGTTGCCAGCCATGGCTGGGACGCACGGCGCTGTGCGGAGACAGAGGGCGTCCCACCTCACGCCGCCCCCGCAACTTTCCCGAGCCCGCCTGCCGGGGAGGGCGGCCCTTCCCCCGGCCACCCAAGGGACCCTCCAGGTCGGCAACCCCACCCCTGGCGGAGGCGATCGGTGCGTGGGTGGGTGCCCGCCTTGCCTCCTCCCCTTCCCGCAGCGCCACCCCCACTTAGCCACGCTTCACGCCGCCACGCAGCCCTGCTCCTCCTAAAGCGGAGTCCTGCTGGACCATGCAATGTTAGCTGACCAGCATCGAACTCAAACGATGCCCTAGCTGTGTGTAAACGTGTCTGTTTAGGACTGCGCGCGCGCGCGCTCGTTTCTGCGTTACTCATTATTAAAGTGAATCAGCGGCGGAGACTTAAGATCAATAAGTTATGCTTGGATCTAAGCATTATCTGTGTGCAGCACTGAATAGCAGTGAAACCCCAGCAGCAAGGAAAGGGGTTCAGGACTGCTTAAATGTAGGAGAGAGTTAATTATGTCAGATTATAGTCCAGATCAACAAGTCACCAGAGGCTATAAAAATACTGTTGTATTTTAAGGGTTATTACGAGAGCATGATCTGAAGGTAGGTCTTGAAATACCAGCACGTTATGCTTGGAATAGGAAGGAAACGTGTATGTCCCACAGAAGGAAGTGAATAGAACTTCAGTTAAGCAGCCACCACATGTAAAGCAGGCCAAAAAACCCCCAATATGAAATATCGTAAAGATTTTACAAAATAAGGAAACACGGCCAGAAGCCAATAGTGGGAAGAGTTTTTGAAAAGAAAGAAGCTCATTAATTTTTTAGTAGGAGTTCACAATGCCTCAATAACACATTTTGGAGCTGAGGCAGAACTGGGGGGAGGCTTCATATAAAATCATGTCCATTTTATTTTATTGTTGAGCAGTTGAGGATCAGTTAATGTCTTTGCAGTCAAGAGTGTTTCCATTACAGAACAATTCACATTTCAGAAGAAACCGAACCTATTATTGTGCATTGCTATAAATGTACAGGTAATGTCCCCTAGAATGAGCCACATGGGAACCCGTGAGAAGTATAAAAGAGAATGGTTCTTCCCTTTGCAATGTCACTTAAGGGGTGTACTCTAGATCATTGGGCTACAATCAACAGACCACTAAGTCTAGCGGTGGTGAAGTTCCCTGAACATTTCACTGGATTATGACTTGCTTGTAGGAATAATTGCAGCAATACTTTCCAAAGGAGATGGGGGGGTGTTGAAGCATGAATTGCATTCCATATTTCAGAGCAACTGTGGAAAATAGACAGGGGATGAAGTTATATGGCACTCGAAGTATCATACATTATCTAAGTATATATTTTACAATTATAATCTCACATAGGTAAATATTACTGTCTCAAAGGTGAGGCCTACAACAAAATGTTGCAGTGTATCATCGGTTCCTAAGAGAAGTCTTCCTTTCCAGTTTTTCATCAGTGTTACCTACTGCATAAGTTGCGAACGACTTGAATGGACTATTCCAGCTCTCCAAAGTTCATCTTTGGTTTTCAATTTTTTTCCAATTGATATTTACCATTCTGCAACTGTCATGTATGCTAGTCCTCATTAGGCTGGTTTGGGGGATGTTGTCCCCATAGGATTTATTTGTATTTATTTTTTATTTTTGCAGTTTCCCAAAGCGTGCTGGCTTCTTCCTCTTGCTTCCCAGTGGCAGCATTTTGGCTCCAGTCCACTTTTCTTCTAAACACTTGAGCTTGCTATTAGAAGGAAAGATTGCCGGCACAGAGAACAATGGTTTGCTTGAGGCTACCTAGTGAGATAAGAATGAGATTATATTTGATTCCTTCCCCCAAAGAGAATCCCCTATTTTAAAAACAAAGGTAACAATATATGTCTAATGAAACTCAGAATAAGACTCACCAGAAATTAGTATTACCAAAAAGCATTTATATACACAATGCATTTCAAAAGCAATAAAATGTTCAAGCACACCAATTAGTGTTGTTGCTGTTGTTAGTTGCGAAGTCATGTCCAACCCATCGCAACCCCACGGACAACATTCCTCCAGGCCTTCCTGTCCTCCACCATCCCCCAGAGTCCACTTAAGCTCACACCAACTGCTTCAGTGACTCCATCTAGCCACCTCATCCTCTGCTGACCCCTTCTTCTTTTGCCATCAATTGTTCCCAGCATTAGGCTCTTCTCTAGTGAGTCCTTCCTTCTCATTAGGTGGCCAAAGTATTTGAGTTTCATCTTCAGGATCTGGCCTTCTAAAGAGTAGTCAGTGTTGATCTCCTCTAAGACTTAATGGTTTGATTGCCTTGCTGTCCATGGGACTCGCAGGAGTCTCCTCCAGCACCACAATTCAAAGGCCTCAATTCTTTGGCGCTCAGCCTTCCTTATGGTCCAACTCTCACAGCCATACATTGCAACTGGGAAAACCATAGCCTTGACTATATGCACTTTTGTTGGCAGGGTGATGCCTCTGCTTTTTAGTATGCTATCTAGATTTGCCATTGCTTTCCTCCCAAGGAGCAAGCATCTTTTAGTTTCTTGGCTACAGTCCCCGTCTGTATATGCTACCAAAGGTACAGGGTGACCAACGGGAGTCGGACATTTTTAGAACAGGTAGTACATGGTAAGTGGTGATGGTAGGGAGATGAGCTAGCCATCTCCTCCCCCCCTCCCCCCCCCCCCGGAATGCCAATTCAGTCACAATGGAGCAGTGGACATTACAACATCATTCGTTTGCTTACAACAGCTTTGTTCAAAGTGGTGAGTCTTATCACAGCAACGCAGCGGCTATTTCGCTATTTCGTTGAGAATTCAATGTTGGTTGACATGGGGCCATTTCCAGTCACAACACGATCCTCAGGTGGGTTGAAGATTTCAGAACAACCGGAAACATTATGAGTAAGAAACCACCAGGCCCCGCACGCACGGGGCTCACAATTGATCAACAGCTGTTGGCCTGAGTGAAGGACAATTTCAAGTAAAGGATTGAAAGCTTCATTCAAGAGGATGGTCAACATCTAAATGACATTATTTTTCATAACTGAATAAGTAACTTAAATGGCATGTCTTGACTTCTGTTTTTGTAAAAATAAATCCATTTCGAGTTGAACATCTATGGAGTACTTTTTTTTCAAAACCATCCACCTCCCGTCGGTCACCCTGTATTTTAAGATATCCATTAGAAAATATTCAGTTGTAAGATCATTCCATGCATCAAATAAACATGCATCTTCCTCCATAATCTTATATGATAACTGAAGTCCAATTATAGAGCACACTTGGGTCTCCTCACATGCACATGTGACAACTGCCTACTGGGTGCAACCAGACGTTCCCCGTAGGAAAAGCTGCCTCAAGAGTGGAAGAGCTACGTTGGGGTATTTGTGCCACAGAAGATTCTCAAATGTGCTTTAACTAAATGGCAAATGTTAGCACACCAAAGATCCATTCTGAGAGTCATTGTGCTGCATAGACACAATCAACTCAGTGTATCAGCTGAATTAGGAATGTGTGCCACTATTTACATTTCTTAAAAGAACCTTGAAGGGTATCTAATGCTGGTCTTCCATAACATCCAGATATGCACAAAGCAGCATCTGTGGTCAGGCTCTGTATCCTGTCAAATGTGACTTATTATCTGAATCTCCTTTCTGACAACAATAACCCACTGTATGAAACTCACATATATTTATACATAAATGTATTTTGACTTGTACCGAGAACATTGTTTTTTTAGTGTGGGTGTAAGCCTAACTCTTTGAGTAGTTTTTTTCATTCAGTGACATGTTAATGGAAAACTTTTCTTTCCTCTGAAAACAGAGTTGGTTGGAACCATTGAATCCAGTGGCCTGCTCAGTGCAGTTTAAAGCAGCCCTGACAGGTATCTGTCCGTTTCTTGCTTGGATGCCTTCAGCAATGGAGAGCCCATCACCTCCCTAGACAGTTAGTTCTATTGTCTGACTATTCTAACAGTAAGAAAGATTTTTTTCTGGTAAGCCAAAGAAAAACCCAACTACAGGATGAAAGGCTCATCTGGAGGTCCTCTAGGGGATGGGGGATTAAATCCTAAAGCCCCTTAGGAGACAAGGGTAGAGCATACTTCCATTCCCCCAATAGTACTGCCCCTTACTCTTTGCCCTGTTGCAGCCCCAATTTGTTCTGAAATTCCCCCAACCCTCCAGAGTAGATTGTGGAACCACAGCAGGGAGAGAAAATCAATTCCACCAGTGGAAAGTCAGCCATGGAAAAATACTCAGAGGATTTAAGTGGGCATTAAAAATTAGGGACTGAGCATTAACAGAGAGGAGAAGGACAATTGAACTACACTAGTTTTGTCTCTGGATTAAACTGCACATAGAATGAGCACTTCTATGGAAAGTTACTAAAAATTCTGCAAACACTATGGCCTGGATTATTTTGTAAGAGTAGGTGTATACATTTCTTATAAGGTCATTCAAAATAGTAATAAGGTTGCTGTGTAAATAGTGGAATTCTTTTTTCATCATGGATTTTTATTGCTTCCCTAGAATCAACTTAATAAGGCTTCATCTCCAAGTCACTGGTACTTAGTCAACAATGACTATAGCAGCCTAAGTGATATCTTTTTTCCCCCAAAGTAAACATTGTTGTACAATGTTTTCCCCCCAAACAATGTATTAGTAAAAGCAGTATCTTTTAACAGTTGTAATGCTTTACCCTCTACCCTTTACCCTCAGCACACCTTTCATTTAGGGTGACCAGATATAATGACAAATGAAGCCCATATCACTGTGTAGTAAAACAAGAATTTTAGCAGGTGTAGGGTTTTTCACTTTTTCTTAATGAAGTATGCCTGCCAAAGTTCCATCTGGTAAGGTAACAAGATTTCATTGCATCTGATCATTCATTATATCCAAAATCACAGTCCACAATTCAGTACAATTTGGTGCTGTCCTGTATAATTTTATCTTTATTACATTTTAAAGTAGAATCATAATATTAACATAAAACTGAATACTTATCACCAGTTAAGTTGGCCCTTCTTACTCCCACTTGCAGACATGCAAGGACAACCCTCAGGAAATATCACAGTCACTACCAGAGATGA